ACCAGGCTCCTCCATCCATGGGATTTTCCAGGCAAGAGTACTGGAGTGGGGTGCCATTGCCTTCTCCGGAAGTCAACTAGGCCATGGTTCAAATTCTCACCACTAACTAAATGTGTGATGGAGAGAAGTTACTGAACCTGATTTCCGGGTTCTCATCTGTAAAATGGAACTATTAATAATACACATAGACTTGGGGGAAACTGTTAAATCATGACGACTCTGATGTGACCCCATGGACTGAAGCCTGCCAGGCTCCTCTGTCCAAAGGATTTCCCAGGCAAGAATACTGGAGCGGGTTGCCATTTCCTTCTCCAACCTGAGGTTATGCAAGCCCACTAAGGAAATCAGTGTGGTGCTTATGACACAGCAAAATCCCTTAGAGTAAATGTCCCTTATCACTGCTGTTATTACCTTACACATGGCTTGTTACAAAGTCCCCGTTGTGTCAGGAGCAGACAACAGAGGTAATAAAGCTTACCTGGCACTGGGGATTGCCAATACTGTCATAAATTTTCAACACTCTCAAAGTCCAACGGAGCAGGCAGGATGGAGCAAACAAGTTCACGGTCAAGAGGCACCCACTGCAAACAGGCAGTGCTGGCAGCCAGAGGCCACTGCAAACACTTTAACTCATACAGGCCTGAGAGATGACAAACATGCTTCCCTGGCCTTGCATCTGTGGGCAGGGGGTCCCCCAGAGGCAGGAGACAGGCCAGTATTTCCCCTTTATGTCTTATTTAAATTAGCCAGAGTAGCCTCCAGGTCACAGGGGCGACAGCATAGCAGCTGGGATGAAGTGACCAGCCAAGACTGTGGGTGGGAAACCAGGGTTCTCCAGTCCATCTGAACACAGAGTTGCAAAATCTGAGGCCCTGTGCTCAGCCAACAGGTGCTCACAAGCACATGTCAAAACACAGACCTGCTCTTCCAGATGGGGAGGTAACCTGGAGAAATGTTGATTGTTCCCTTGGCTTGCTGGCGGGTCGGATCAGTCGGGGTGGGTGTCCTCTGTCAAAAGCCCTGAGGTTGCAACCACTAGAGCTAGAAAGCAGGATTCCTCTCTCCCTATCTCATTTATTTCTTTTGTATTTTTTTTTTTTTTTGTCTTTCTCCCTATTTCAAAACAGGCACCTCCTCTAGGAAAGAATGTGACTTCTTCGTTTTACGGCAGAACTGGAACAAAAAACCTAGCTCCTAAATAACAGAGGGGCCTTTGGGAAAGCTAATTCATATGTGAGATTCCATTCCCTAATCGAGAAACCACGATCATAATACCAGCCCTGCCCACCTCACAGGTCAGCTGCGAAGGCACAACAATAATACAAACTTCCATCTCTAGGATTCTTTATAGTTTTCTAAGTATGTTCTCATGCTCCCCTCTACAGTCCCAAAAGCACAGCAGTGATATCTATAACCGTATTACTTCCCCTGAGAGTCAATTTTCTCTTAGCACGGGGCCAGCCAAAAACCACAAGACAACATCAACGTTCTAGTTCAAAACAGGAAACTTAGCAGTCTATCAATAAAGGGCCGTCAGCAGACCCAGGATGCTACTGAGTCCTGCTGAAATAAAGAAGGTTCTTCTTAAAGGGACTATTCTTCTGGGTTGGGGTGGGGGAGCGGGCAGGGGCCCTGATCCCTCTCCTCCATAATTAATAGTGTGACTGGAAGATCAACAAAGGGAACGGGCAATGAAGAAGGAAGAAGGCGTCCTACTGAATGGTCTCAGAGCCTAGGACAGCCAGGCAGAGCCTGGCAGCAGGTCTTAAAGCCTCACCCCATCATCTTTCAGACACTCAGACATTCTCTACAGCCCCTGGTAAGGCTTCCCTGGCCCCATCCCTTCTTCTTCCAGCAACTATGAAGTGAGCAGCGACTGACTGCTGGGCACTGGTAAGATTACTGAGCAAAAAAAAAAAAGAAGAACCTCCTTCTTCATGGGGTTGAGAGTTTCATGGTGAGGACAAGAAATAAGTCATCCTGTAACTAGACTCTGCCATGCAAGAGAAGCAGGTTTCAGTGAGTGATCCGTCATCTGAGGGACCAGAGAAGACCGGACTCCTATCGGAAACCAGCAACTGGCTGTGCACCGGCACAGCATGGCTCCCTGTCCGGGTGCCAAATGGGGATGCAGCGCACGCTGGGCCTCTCGGGCAGCAGGAGAAGCCGCACCGCCCAGCGTCAGGGGCCAGAGGCAGGAGGAGGGTGTAATTACCCAGCAAACACCAGCGTTCCAGGCAAGCAAAGACACGCTGTCTTCCAGCTGTTTGTGTATCATTAGAAAATAAATTAAGATGTCATTAGGAAGAAATTAAATAATGTGCATGTTGTCATGACAACAAAGACACAGGCTGCCAGATCCTGCTTCAGCAGGGATTGCCCACACCCAGCCCCTTTCGAGAGATCAACGCGACAGAGATGGAAGAGGGCATGCTGCCTTACCAGTTGTCTTGCCCCGGTAGAAAATCTTCAAGTCCATGGGCCCTGTAAGCCGGCTCGCCAGAATGGCCATGTCGGACCCGCTGTACTTGGAAGCTCGGAAGATGCTGAGCTGTGACCAGTCATCCCAGTAAATCTCATTCTAAAAAGAAAACCTTCACTCGTTAGCCAGCTCTTCTTTCATTCAGAACCCGCATTGAGAACAAGAACTCCACTGTGGAGTGGACACCTAACATTCACTGGATGAATGATCAGCGTGAGCAAGATGACAGTTAAAGGCAGGAATCAGTGCTTTTATCCAGACCTCACCAAATATCCACATTGAAGGAACCGCCTCAAAGAATCTATCCAATTGAGCATTCAGGTGTGACCATAAGCTCAACCCTTGAGTTCAAAATCTGAAGAACCACTTTATGTTGCAAGGTTGAAGCACAAGTGACAAGGCCTCCAGGAGGCAGGGTGGGGCTCATCTCAAGACAATAGAGAATGAAGAGAGCAATCCTCACAGCAGACCACAAGTCAGAGCCAATCGGAGGCTACCAACACTGAATGGCAAGCCAGGAATTTTCATCAGATGCAACCTTGAATTTCAACCTTCTGAAATGACAATGATAAGCACCCTGGATCCCTGGCAGCTGGGTCTGGAATCGCTCCCTAGGGGCCGAAAGAAACTGCCTCCAATTCAGAAACGAGCTGATTTTCTACAAGTTCGATAAGCATCTCAGTAAAAACCCACAGACAGCAGGCTCTTTGCCTCAGTCTGCTCCCCGCCTACATAAACAGGTTGCCCAATGCTGGGAACAGGTGAGGTCCCACCTTAAAGACAGCAATAGCGTAGGGGTGCGGGAGGTTGTCCAGGATGACGGAACGCTGCTGGCCACTGAAAGTGATCCGCTCAATGCAGTCCAGGTAGGCATCCGTCCAGTAGATCCACTGCTCGTCCACGGCGATGCCATTAGGCCACTTCACATCCTCTGATACAAGGCGGTAGGCAGCTGAACCATCCATGTTGCTCCGGTAAATGCCAGGCCTCAGGTCCCCCCAGTCGGTCCAGAACATCACCCTGGGCGAAACCAGGGAAAAACACACATCCCATCAGAACGGGGGGTGTGCATGCTCAGTTGCTCAGTCATGTCCGACTCTTTGAGACCCCATGGACCACAGCCTACCAGGCTCCTCTGTCCATGGGATTCTCCAGGCAAGAATACTGGAGTGGGTTGCCACACCCTCCTCCAGGGGATCTTCCCAACCCAGGGATGGAACCTGCATCGGCTACACTGCAGGCAGATTGTTTACCGCTGAGCCATTGGGGAAAGAATGGGTAGACGGATGCTCAAATACTCCTCCAAAGTGGCAAGCATTCGGCCAGTTAGTTCAGCCTTGATGCTGCAATCTCTCATTATACTACTTAAAGCCAGTTAACTACCTGACCCAGAGATTCTTCTACTGGAATTTATCTATGGGTAGAATCAAGTTATGCAAAGAGAGTGTACAAACATGTTCATCATCAGCAATGTTCACATTTGTTGTTGTTTAGCCATTAAATTGTGTCAAACTCTTTGCAACCCCATAGACAGTAGCCCACCACGCTTCTCTGTCCATGGGACTTTTCAGCCAAGAATACTGGAGTAGGTTGCCATTTCCTTCTCCAGGGAATCTTCCTGACCCAGGGATCAAGCCCAGGTCTCCTGAATTGCAGGCAGATTCTTTACCACTGAGTCACCTGGGAAGCCCATTGTTCACACTAGCAAAATATATACATATACAGGTAGGAGTGCATACAAATATATATATTTAAGTGTGTGTGTGTGTGTATGTATACACAAAAATGTCAATCTGTAAAGTGTTACATTATGGTACATACAAAAGAACAGTAAAATGTCTAAAGACCTACATGCGTTCAGATTAAAAAATCTTCCAACCATATTAATATTTTTAAAACATGCAGAATAGTAAATATCCTATGATCCTCCTTGATGCATGTGTGTGCATGTGTGTGTCTGTGTGTTAAAGGGTGTACACCTGTACATGGGCAAAAATAAATTCTGAATGAGACACAAGAAACTATTAACCATGATTACCTCTAGAAAATGTGAAAGCGAAAATAAGAAACAAATATTTTTCATTTCATAAATTTCTACTTTCTTTTAATATTTTTAACCAAGTGCATATATCACTTTCAGAGTTTTCTTTTAAAAACTGATCTCTCAATCATAAATGCTAGAAAGCCTAATCCAGAATTTCCCTTTTTAGGTATGTTTCCTTAAGTTAGCAATAAATTAATAAGAAGCACCTCTGCCTTTCCCACTTTTCAGTTTGCATATAAACTGCTGGTAAGAAAATACAGGCTGGGGGCAGGAAAAAGAAGGAATGGTTTAAATATTTGTATCACATGCGAAACTCAAGATAAAGCCTCCTTACAATATTCAAGCAGGGCTGACTATGTCCAGAGAGACTTTAAATATTACTTTCTGCTAGGGAAACACCCCACAGCTGCAAGACATCTGGGCACCTAAAAAGACTGCGATGCTTGCTAACAGAAAGGGGATGGAGTTTGCTGCCCAGGAGGACTAAGCTACAGATCCAAGACTTGCAGGTCCTAGATTACTTCAACCACAATGATCAGAAACAAGCTTTTGTCCAGCAGTTTGCATTTCCAGGAGACTCTGTGGCAGCCCTGGACCCACACAAATCCTCTCTGGGACCACACTTACCCATCTTGCGGCACGAGGACCAGAGCCCTGGGTCGATCAACCACAGAAGCATTGACAATGGTGAGGCGGAAGTCACCGTCTGGATGCCCCACCTGACAAATAAAGGAGGAGGAAAGGCTAAGAGGGGTCTGAGCTCCTTATAAGGCCCATGCTGCAAACTTTCCTTCTTGGGTCCCGCCTACGGCCCTCCATGGTGGCCAGATTCCCCTGCAGACTGATTTGGGAAACTTGCCCCCCTCTCCAGCCAGATTGAGTTGTTGCCTCCTCTGGCTCAGGCAGCAATCCTTACAGGGCCTGACAAGAGGAGCCAGTACCACTTGCACCCCCAGTTCTGGGGGTGTGATGACTTGCACAAAGTAAGTGCTCGCTGCGTGCTTATTTACTCTACCCGCCTCCACCACTCCAAGCTCCAAAGCCACCAACATCTCTGCTTTATCCATAAAACAAATTCTCAATATCACTACCTCACCAATCCAGAGTCCCCACATTCTCTCTCCTCTACGTCAGCCCCTACAACCTCAGGGAGACTGGTACTCTTAGGGATCCCCAAGTCTGATATACCCACTCCTGTCTGCTCTTGCCATGTATCCCCCCTAAGACCTGTTCTCTGCTTTCTAATCAAATCCTATCCTTCCTTCAAAATACCCCGCCAGGCCCAACTCCTCTGCTAACCTTTCTGATCCACCTTGATCAATGGGCATCCATAGTTCACATCACTGACTCTTCTTTCACCATTTCACACACAGTATTTGAGCTTATACTGTGAGCCTATAGACACTCAAGCTTTACCTGCATCCTTCTAGCAAAGCGCTGAGCACAGTCGATTAAAAAAAGAGAGAGGAAGAGTAACGACAAGACCACCAACCCACGGCTCAGAATGTGCCCAGTGCTATGCATCCTTCCACCCTTCCTCTCAACCGTCCCATGAGGGGAACGCTCCCAACGATCCCTGCTCGGGCAGAGCTCAGCTCAGACGTCACCTCCAAGACACCTCCTCTCCCCCGTCACGCAATCACATACCCCGTGTGATGTTCACTGCAGCGCAAGGCACCAACAGGACAGATGGACTTATTTCTTTGTTATTTTGCTTCCTCCACCAAAACCTAATCTCTCAGCACAGAGACCTGCATGTCTTGCCTCCTGCTCTATCATTATGATCTAAAACCAGACCCGTCACACAGTGTGCTGGGACACAGCACCTGCCAAGTGACTGACTGAACAATGGAATCTGCATCTTACGGATGAAGAAACTGAAGCTGAGAGGGGATAAGATACTTGCCTGAGTCATTCAGCTACCAGAATAAGGACTAGGGGACTTCTCTGGGGGTCCACTGGCCAAGATCTCAAATTCCCAATGCAGGGGGCCAGGGTTCGATCCTTGGTCAGGGAACTAGATCCCACATGTTGTAACCAAGAGTTCACATGCCTCAACTAAAGATCCTGCAGGCTGCAACTAAAGAAGACCCTGAGTGCTGCAACTAAGATCTGGTGCAGTCAAATAAATAAAAATAAATACTTTTTAAAAATTTTTTTAAAAAGGGATAAAGACTGAACCCAGGTCCATCTCTCGAGTTTGTGGCTTTTGCTATGTGATTTGTCCTGCCTCTCTGGGTCTCCCTGTTTCTACTGCGCCTTCCACATAACCCACAAGTCATGCCTCCCCAGAGGTCAGCGTAAAGAGGTGTTGAGATGGTGCCCCAGAGCCCCAGTAGGAATATGCAGGAGTTGAGCATGCCTAGGAGCCCATGATCTCTTACCCCTCTCAGCCCTGCAGAGCTCAGGTGCAGACAGGTGAAGTGAGGAGGTGAGAGGACCTACCTTACAGAGCAGCTGAGAAGTGAATCAGAGAATTCATGCAAAGTGGTTCCAACAGAGAACGACCACATGAAGATGGCAGTCACAGAATTATCTTCATTACACTAACAGCATTTAATACTGCAGTGTGGATGTTACGGCATTATAGTAATGCTACAGTATCACTATCATTACAGTTACTACGCTATGCTGCTGCTAGCCCCAATACAAGTGTTCAAGTATCTTAATGAAATCTCTATTTGACAGATGCAGGCATCCTGTTTGCACATGGGACCACCTTTCTCTGCAATTCTCAGGGAATCTCCAGAGGAGTTGGACACACTGGCTTCCCCCTCTGTGTCAAATCTGGCTCCCAGCCCAGCACCTCCCTGCTTGCTTAATCACAGATAGCACGGAAGGCACATACCTCAATCTTTTTGAAGCCAGAATCCACCCAGTAAAGTAACTGGCTGAGGGGTTCAAAAGCCAAGGCTTCTACTGTCTCCAGGCCAGAATTGAAGATCACCTCCTGCCCCGAACTCCCATTCAAACAGAGGCGCTGAAGAGACAGAAAAGAAGAAGAAACACTGTGAAATGCTCACATGATCTCCAGCCAAATCGGTTCCATCCATGGGAACCTGTTTATTCAACTGGCTTGACTGGCAAGGGCGGAGATGTTTTCTATTTGCCAGTATTCCAGATGCATGAAGCCGTTTTTCACTAAAAGCATTTCTTAAATGGATTACAGCTTCCTGTTTGAAGCAGGATAACTTAACAGAACCGAGTGGTTTATATCTTCCTGCATGATGGTCCTGAACACTGGTCACTGAGCTACATTGTATCACAATAATGAGGTAGCGATGACCAAGATGCATGAGTCTGCTTGCTTTTAAAATAAATGAAACCGGATTGCTGTTATTTTTAAGATCCGATCCTGTGTCTGCTTTTTATAGTCCTTCCTCCCTCAGAGGCTCCAAGTCATCAGGTGCTGCGGCTTGGACAGCCACGGGCAGCAGCCACTGCCTCCCCCTCCCCCACCTCCCTGTCCCCTCCTCCAATAGCCGGGCCCTGTAAAATTTCTATTGGGTTGGAAGTCCAGATAAAACTTGTTAGAATTGCTTTTATAAATGGATTAAATAGGCAATGAAAAAAGATCAAATAGCTCTCTTTAAAATGCACGGGTCTGCAAGTATGGCCATTTATCTGGCCTGCCCAGCAATCTTTACAGCTTACTTTCTGGTTCTTGACTGTGCTCGGAATAGCTGAAGTGGATAATTACGTGAACTACAGAGAAGTCAAGAGTTACTATATCAGGGCTTGAAAAGAAGGACACAAATGAGGCAGTGGCTATGATAGGAGAGACGAAGAGGGCTACATACTTAGCCCTAAAATCTTCCCAGCAGGAAAAGGGAGACCTCACTTACAAGCAAGAATGCAGATTTGAGGGCTCCCTTTGTTTTCCCTGCAAGGACAGAGGTAGACAGGGAAAGAAAATACTAGAACAGAAAACTGGAAAGTGTCATCCATTGGCCCTGAGATAAAACTTAAAAACCTCAAATACCCATCTCCTTAGAACACTCTGGAACAGGTTTACCAGGACTCAGCAGTCACAAGGCAGGGCCCCCACGAGCAGACCCGGGAGGACGCACCTGGATGACGTCCAAGGCCAGGTCGGACCAGTACAAGCAGTTGCGCTCATAGTCGAAGTCCAGGGCCACCGCTGACCGCAGCCCGCTGAGGGGCAGCTGCTCGGTGGCCCCCGAGGCCAGGTCGTAGCGATAGATGGACTTGCGCATGGCGTACAAGATGAACTCGTTCTCCTCTGCAGACACACAAGACAAGAGGGTGGTTCGGCCTGGGGGTGCTGGAGGGGTCCTCGCACGTCTAACCTACCTCTTTCTCACCCGTGAGCCTCAGAGCCATGGATGGCACAAGGTGTGGATCAAGTGAGAACTTAGGGATCGTGACTTAGAAGGAGGGCAAAGCAATAACATTTCTGCCTCAGCTAAGTTACTCAGAACATCCATGAATCTCTGCTTTTTACTGCTATTTTTTCCCCCCAAATCTGTGTCCTCCCCTGCCCTTCATAGTAAGCATGCTCCAATATCCAGCTTCAGAGCTCAACCTACATGTTTTGGTCACATATGAAAATAGTCACACCACTCAGCACATTCCTCCTCATCACAGGATGGACCCCATCATGTGGCACCGTAATCTCACTGACTAGGGAACTTGAGTCACTGAAGACTTACAGCTAAGTTTTCTAATCTGTTTGCTCACCCATTCAATATCGTTTATAAAGACAGAGCAATCATATCAACATTCTATTTTCAAAGTAATAATACATATGTTCCTGGCCACCTACAGAATGTATTACAACACAATCATCATGAAGATTCTACTTCTACTTAAATACTTACACAACATACATACTATTACCAGGAATTGTTTGATCCCAGTGACAACTGTATAATGGGCTTCCCTGGTGGGTCAGACATTAAAGAATCTGCCTGCAATGCAGGAGACCCAGGTTCAGTCCCTGGGTTGGGAAGATCCCCTGGAGAACAGAATGGCAATCCATTCCAGTATTCTTGCCAGGAGACTCTATGGACAGAGGAGCCAAGTGGGCTACAGTCCACGGGGTCGCAAAGAGTCAGAGATAACTAAACGAGTTTGAGAGAGAGAGAGAACACCTGTATAATGGAAGAACTATTAACTCAATTCTACAAATAAGAAAGCTGAGAGCAGGGGTTAAGTAACCCACGCAAGGTCACATAACTGGTAAGTGGCCGAACCAAGAACCGAACTCCAGTGGTCTGGATCCAGAGTCTAAGCTTTAACACCCAAGGCTGTCTCTTGCAATATAGGCACCAATCTCTCAAGACAGAGAAACAGAAGCTCAGAGTGCTTCAGAAACTGATTTAATGTCAGACAGCTAAGAACAGGAAGAGCTGGTGCTCTTGGTGGTCTCTCTCTTCCTCTTAAGGACCGGCCTGGAAAACATCTGGAGTTTCCCAAGAGAATGAAAATTAGCATCACACCCGCATCCATTTCTGAAGTGTCCATTGTGACAATATATTGCATCTGCAAGTGACAAATCTGGATCCCTCTGCTGCAAGCCTGCATGATGATGGTTGTTTTGTTTCTTTTTTCTCTTTCTCTCGTTCCATTCTTGAAACATAAGTTAGCCACCTCTGCCTTATAAAGCTCCAATATAAATAATGCACTCAAAAACTTAAATCTACCTATAATTTTTTTTTTAACCAAAGGTAAATCTGCCCTCTTTTCTTTTGGTCTCACTTCAAAAGGATCTAAGCTACCACATGATAACGAATCACTCCCTTTGGTTTTCAAGAAAATCATCCCACTGTAATTCCCAGGAGACCAGGCAGTCAGATGAAAAATGCTGAGTTTGTAAAAATGCTAGAATCCCAGACGTTGTGGCAGTGCCACATGGAGTTGTGGAGACGCATTCGCAGCAGCAAGCCCTTCATCCCACCTCTCTACAACATTTAGAAACCTCACTCTGTTGCTTCGAGATTTTTTTCTTCTAACTGACAGTGCCTTTTGAGTCCACAAACACCCACCTTAGAATGTGGTGTAGAGAAACAGACAGTATGTTGTGTGTTAGAAAAGAAATAGAATTGGTCAATCCCAGGCATCTATAAGCCCCAGCCTAGAAATGTATGTCACTGTCCTAATCTCAAAGGAAGAAAAATTTCTTCACTTTTAAAAATCCTTCCAGATGACCAGATTATCTCATCTTTGCAAACATATTATGGTTCCATGTTAGTCCTATGAAACATTTTTTCCTTTCTTGGTACATTCCTGCCTCTGCTCCATGCTTTAAAAAAAAAAAAATTTAGAAGGTAGCCTACCATACCCTACCACCTTCCCTGGTAGCTCAGACAGTAAAGCGTCTGCCTAGAATGAGGGAGACCAGGGTTTGAACCCTGGGTCAGGAAGATCTTCTGAAGAAGCAAATGGCAACCCATTCCAGTACTCTTGCCTGGGAAATCCCATGGATCGAGAAGCGTAGTAGGCTACAGCCATGGGGTCACAAAGAGTTGGACACAACACGGCTGAGCGACTTCACTTAACTCACTACCCTACAAGGGCTTCCTGGGTGGCCAATGCAGGAGACATAAGAGGCGCAGGTTTGATTTCTAGGTCAGGTCAGGAAGATACCTTGGAGAAGGGCATGGCAATCCACTCCAGTACTGTTGCCTGGAGAATTCCATGGACAGAGGAGCCTAGCAGGCTATGGTCCATGGGGTCACTAAAGTGACTTAGCATGCATACACACTACACCACAAAGGAGATTTTTTCCACTTATTCCCTATTCTATCCTCTCCTATCAGAAGAGAAAACAGCTTTCCGACCACTTCAGACAGCTCTAAACAAACTGTTTTGTCCCTCGCTGACATCTTCAGAAATATTTATCACCAAAGTACATGCTCCAGCCTCTTATGAGCAATCACTCAAACCCTGCTCACCCAGGCCCTCATCAATAACAGCTCTCGTGAGGGGACTATATGAGTATTATCTGCTCGTTTGTGGTAATCTGCTGGAGCCGTGTTCTTTTAAAGTCTCCACGGTGAGGGATGTTAATTACTTGGGTAACGATGGAAGATTAAATTAAGGGACTAATGAGCTTAGCATGAAAAACACCAGGGTGAGCTGGCAAACAGTGAGCAAGCGAGAGCACTGCTCTTCCCCTCCCATGCAGGACGAGGTGGTTCTCTCATGATTCACGTGGTGCTGACGGCTGTTCCACTGGACGCTACCTCTGCTGAGGGAGTCTGCCCTAATCACGCACCTTTCCCAAAAGGCACAAGCAGAAGGGAGGGCTCAGAGGGAAGAGAAGCCCTATATGAATAAGACTAGAAAGAGAGCAAAGAAAGAAAAGATGCCAAGAGATCAGCTCTTCATTAAGGTATCATAACTTCATGTGTGTGTGCCTGCATGCGTGCTAAGTTGCATCAGCCGTGTCCAACCCTATGAACTGTAGCCCACCAGGTTCCTCTGTCCATGGGATTCTGCGGGCAAGAATATTGGAGTGGACTGCCAAGCCCTCCTCCAGGGGATCTTCCCAGTATATTACAAATACCTCAACATGAACCATCACCACCGTATCAGCTTGAAACATTTGGGACATGCTAGATCTTAACAGCATATTCACTTGCTCCAAGGTTTCTCCTAACGAGCCTGCATAAGGATGCATGCTCAAAGAATGGGCATGATGCTTGAGAGATGGTCAAAGGAGAGCATGGGGCTTAGAGTCTGAACTTTAGCTCTGTCACTGACCAGATATGAGACCTTAAATAAACTGTTTGACTCTCTCCTCTAAACATGCTTCTTCATATTAAAAAGAATGGAGCTAATAATAATATCTACTTCATTGGGTAGTTATAGAGATTAAATTGGTATAACACATGGAAAAGTGAACTAAAATGTGTAAAATTCCATTAAAATATCAGTCACAATTATCATTACAAAAATGAAGACAGACCACTGAGCTACTTCCCAGAAAGCCATGAGTCTGATTCTCTGACAAATGGATCAAGAAGCATGCAGAAGACCTATGGGAGTTGCTCAGCACCCCCTCGCCTAACACACAACAGTTGCCGAATAAACATCTGTCAACGAACAAACGGGATTTCCCTCCAATATCTTCCATTCCTATAAAAGCATAAGGACATAAATAAATGTCATTTAGAGACCACACTTTGGGGCAGACAGGAGCTCTGAGAGGCCTGTAATCTCCATTCTTTCTCTCCATGAAGCTGGAAGAGCCGGGAGAGATCACAGTAACACTTCAACAACGTCTCGGCGAGACAAATAGGAAAATGTACGTCTCTTACCTGCCAAGGGGCACGGCACCAGCTCTCCTTCCAGGCGCATTTCGACATCTCCTCCACTGCAGGTGTCCCCAGAAATCTTCCGATAGCTGTCACCGCCCCCCCGCCCAAAAGCAAGAAGTCAGAAACATCAAAGTGCAGTCAAGAAGGAACACGGACATTAGGGCTTATCTATTCATTTTCCTACAGAGCAAGTAGGAGGATGTTGACTCACTCTGAACTGCTTCTGTCTGTAAAGCAATTGGGCAGCCCAACATTCTGAAGCATGGTCCTACGTGGGTTTCACATATACTGCTGACCCTTGAACAACTTGAAGGTTAGGGGCACTGATACCCCTCCAACAGGTAAAAATCTGCATAACTGCTCTCTCTCCCTCAAAATCAAAGGAAGTCATAAATGACTCACCCAAAGGTAGGAAACTCAGTCAGTCTGAAGAGAATTGGGACTAGAATCCTAGTTCTTTTGATTCTATGTACTGTGATATCTAATCAACCACAAACATTTCCCCACACTTAGTTAATTAAGATCTGTAAAATGAAAATACGGGTACTGTATTTATTGATTAAATTCCACCTATAAGTGGACCTGTGCATTTCAAATATGTATTGTTCCAGGGTCAACCATATCTCTTCAACATGCCACTCTGAAGACAGGCATTGGCTGAAGTTTATGACTTAAGAAGCAACTGGAATTTCAGAGAAGCTTGCAGACTTGCACTGTTTCCCCATGGGGGATGGGGTAGGGAGAAGAGTTTGTGAACGGCACAATGTTAAATTTTGTGCAAGCGACCTGAAAGATGCTAATGTGGAATTCTGTCATTGAGAGTATGGAAGGAACCCAGGTAGGCCCCTACACTCTCCTTGCCAAGCAGACCTGATGTGTCCTGGACACGGCAACCATGACGTACCCTCTGGTTCTCCTGTAAGTAGAACCCACGGGACAAGGCACAGGAGGGGCGTATGAATTCCCAGAAAACTCCGGATCTGGAACACAAACCTCCAGCGACAGATCTTCACTCATCTTGAAGCCGAAGTCACTGAAAAGACAGTCGGGGCTTGTCAAGGCTGTTGGTTTACACACTTCAGGTATTTAAGCCCCTCCTGTGTGACATCTACTCTATTGCCCCACACCAGCTTCATAAATCACTTAGGGACGTCCCTGGTGATGTAGTGGTTAAGAATCCACCTTGCAAGGCAGGGGATGTGGGTTCGATCCCTGGTCTGGGAACTAGGATCCCACATGCCGCAGTGCAACGAAGCCCTTGGGCCACAACTACCGAGTCTGAGCACTGCAACTAGAGAGAGAGCCTGTGTCCTGCAACAAAGACTGCACATGTCACAACCAAGATCCAACAATGCTAAATAAACACCTAAATATATACATATTTAAGTTACTTAATGTGTCCCTTTAACAAATACTCACTTTTTCACACCAGTACATTTCAAAAAAAACTTTATATCAGAGCCATAATTGGAAAACCACTATCCACGCCATAAATAGACAAAAACGAGACAGATCATGATATCCAAAACAAAATCAATCTGCATTTTTAAGCTGGATCCAGTTCCCCACTCAGACTCTGGGTCTGCCCTCTCATTGTTAAAATGGATCAGCAGTTGTGAAAAGTCTGCTGCATCTCACCCAGTGAGACTTTCTCCTTGACACTATTGAGAGAATTAAAAGAGAAATTTAAAAGAATAGTCTTTTTTCTAAACTAAGGCTTTGCTGTTATTTAAGACCATGTCCACTTACAACTTAAAATCACCCTGGCTTCCTCCTCACGTACTTTGGGACTCAGTCCTTTAGACCAGGAGACCTCCTGCTTGTGGGGACCACATCTCTGCCACTCCCATCTGCTAGCCAGGTAAAGCCCTGGGGTAGGAAGCAGGAGTCCCAGGTCTAGTCTTGGCTCTGTCCTGTTACTGCTTGTCAATGCCTGAGCTGACAGCTCTGAAATGAGGCAGCTGTCATATGTACTTCCCGAGGTCTGGCCTAAACCATCAACTCAAAATCCAAAGGCATTTTCCAGGTTGGTGTGCTTTACCCAAAAGGTTTCATTTACTCTATTACATGTAACACCTACTACAGGGAAAGGATTAACAGGGAGATGGAAAAGTGGTTCATGTGTATATTACATCACAGTTCACACCAAACCCTCAACAGAGAATTATTCGAAGGGAGGAGTTTTATTACTGTACTGAACAGGTCCCACTTGTTAAATCAGGCAAATTTTTACAGGGTGGCTGCTTTCAACCTTTTGGGGGACTAGGCAGAGCATTAATTACTCCAATAGCCAACTACCCTTCATAAGCAGTTTCTTCAAACTGTAGGTCATAAACTAGTGAGCCTGTGAAAGCACATTGGAGGGTCTGGACCTGCTTCCTCTCCTCCCCACAAAGAACAGAAGACTGCCAAACTCATCGTACTTGAAAGTAAGCCTTAGCTCACAGAATTTTTGTTTATATAGATGTATGCCTGTGTCTACATACACAAATATGTATAGGTAAAGAGGCATACCATTAAATACACTGCTTACTAGGGGCTGCAGTCAAGAGTTTGAAAACCACTCTTATTGGCAACATTGGGGAATATAAAGATGTTAAAGAAACTTTTGATGTTTTCGAACTGTGGTGCTAGAGAAGACTCTTAAGAGTTCCTTGGACAGCAAGGAGATCAAACCAGTCAATCCTACAGGAAATCAACCCTGAATATTCATTGGAAAGACTGATGCTGAAGCTGAAGCTCCAATACTCTGGCCACCTCATGCAAAAAGCCAGCCCACTGGAAAAGACTCTGGCAAAGATTGAGGGCAGGAGAAGAAGGGGGCGACAGAGGATGAGGTGGTTGGATGGCATCACCGACTCAGTGGACACAAGTTTGAACAAACGCTGGGAGATGGTGAAGGACAGGGAAGCCTGGCATGCTGCAGTCCATGGGGTCACAAAGAGGCAGACACGACTGAGTGGCTCAACAGCAGCAGCAGCAAACTACAGTCTCCTCTTTCCTATCAACAGTCCCAGGAGAAACACCCACTCCTCCTCCAAGGTTCCTACATCTTTCCACCTCCCATTACAACTGTTTGTGCACATACTGTTCCTTCTACATTCTCAGGCAATGCCTTAGATATTCCACTCAAGGACTAATGAATAAACAAATATACATATGTATGTATATTTACACACATACAAACATATATATGTGCCTGCTTGCGAAGTTGGCTCAGTCGTGTCCGACTTTCTGCCACCCCATGGACTGTAGCCCATCAGGCTCTCTGTGCATGGGATTCTCCAGGCAGGAGGACTGGAGTGGGTTGCCATGGGGTGGGTTCCATTTCCTGGGATGTTTCAGACCCAGGGATCGAACCCGTGTCTCTGGTGTCTCCTGTACTGGCAGGCAGATTCTTTACCACTAGCACCACCTGGGAAGCCTACATATATATATATATACACACATACACACACACACACATCCTTGTTTCAGATAAAAAAACAAATTTCCTTGAAAATAGGGCTCCTAAGGAAAAGGAGTTATTCACAATGGAACCTTCAGCATGTTCCTTTCTTGGCTTGCCCTTGTGGAAATAAATCCCAGAGTAATCTATTCCTACATAAATTACTGTAGCATGCTTGGTGGGGGCAGGGGCCAGGGGGCGGGCTGGGGGGGGGGGTGTCACATCTCCATCACATCACACGGCTGACACAACCAAATGGAAAAACCAACATAAAAAGTGCCCAGCACAGCTCCTGGCTCCTAAGAGCTGCTTAGTAAACACTTGTTTCCTGTGAGCCGCTCCCTTTCTTCAGGGGAAGGCGGACGCCCCGGCCTGTTTCCCTCACTGCTGAGGGACCAGAAGAACACGCGGTCCCTGGCGTGGCTGGAGAACCAACCATTCATAGTCCTCGCGGGTGCAGGAGCAGTTGGACACGACCACCGGCCGGTCAAAGTCTTCTCCGTTAAAGCACGTGGCGTGGGGGGTCCTCCGCTTGAAGACAGTCTTGTGCCCCAGCAGACACTCGTTGCCCCGCTCATCAGATGGGGACCATAGCTTGTAGTCGTTCTCCGTGCAGGGGACCCCTGAGGAGGAGGAAATGTAGCATTACGGGCACGCTCACGTGGCGTTTCCTGTCCTGCCTGCCCCATGGCCCAGCCACCCACTTCCTGGGCCTCTCGCTGCCGCGCAGTGAGCGTGCAGGGCCCGGAGCCGCCCTGACCCTCTCGCTGGCTGGCTCTGGGGCCAGGCAGCACCTGCCTCTAGTGTCTCCAGAAACACAGACATCCGCCTGAGAAACCTGGGAGGGAGCAAGCCCCCCTGGTGCTCACAGTCAAAACTTCTGAAAGATTTGAGCAGATTCTGCAGTCTCCTTTAGAACTAGGTCCCCAGAGGTGTTTGTCTCTGGGGAGTTAGGTCAAGGCTGGACTCCCGAGAGGTGGCATCACTGAGGAGTACTATTCCCTATCATATTCCCAGGACGGCATGAACACATCTGTAGCGTGGCCCATGAGCAAGAGAATCCACTATCACTGCTTGGAAGGTGCGGGACCTTCATGGAAGGAGGCAGAGAATTGGTCAGACAACCTGGACGGTCACTCCATCTACTCACATCCACTCAAAATTTAAAAAGAGTGGTTTCTACAAGAATTCCAAAGTATACCAATGTCTGTATTAGTAGTTTATATCTTTTTTATACGGGTGTCTTTGGTTAGATTAAATGCTGCCTGGAACAGATGAACTACTGTCAACTCAAAGCCATCCCAATCAGCAAGCATTTATTAAACCCTTACTGACCGTAAGGCTATCAGGCCATCCAGTGGGTAGAAGATAAAGATGCACAGAGAAGGTTCTTATACCTGAAGACCTATGATCCTGTTGATGAGGGACGACACGCAAAGCGTGGCAGACACAAATCTATAATTCAAGGTGTGAAGAGTACGCGTCCGCTCTGGACACAGAGAAGAGGGCAGAGGTCTGGTTGGGTTATTAGCAGCCAAGTGCATTGGGTCCTGATCCATGAAAAGGATTTCAGCTAGCAGAAACTGAATAGGTAGCCCACAGAGCATTCCACGGCAGCTGGAATAACGTCAGCCACGGCAGAGGAGCAGAGGGCAGGGTTACGAGGGAGCAAGAAGGAAGAAGGATGCTGCAGAGGTTTACGCTCCCTGCTCCCTTACTGGCAGGTCCTGGGCCTGGGCCGGCAGACGGAAATGAGATCCCAGACAGCCGTGAGAGGACCCTGCACCATTAGTAGAGTTCACCCACCAAATGCGCCAAACTGGAACTGCTACTTTGGTTTTCAAGCATTTATTCATTCACCTGTGCAGCACACTTACACCTAAACCCAGCCTGTACCCAGGACTGCACAGGAAACGAGGATACAGAGAACGCATGGCCCTGGTAAGAAGTGCCTGAGTAACTGCCTCTGGATTTCTCGTTCACTCACTGCATACGTGCTGCCTTCAGTGGATTACAGACCCTTCTGAGAGTATCTAAGCTGATGTCAATCGGAAAGGAGAAGATCTATGTATACGTACATATGTGCTGTCTTCAGTGGATTACAGACCCTTCTGAGAGTAGCTAAACTGATGTCAATCCGAAAGGAGAAGATCTATGTATACGTACAGCTGATCCACTTTGCTATACAGTGGAGACTAACACAGCATTGTAAAGTAACCATACTCCAATTTTTTAAAAAAGGTACTTCCATGAAAAGGGCCAAGGAGGCAGGCGCTTACCCAAGGCATTTGTGGCATTGACCTGGAGGATCAGCCAGCTGTGGATGTTCTCCTTGTTGGAGCCGAAGATGGTGAAGACAGTACTCTTCTCGCCAGGTTCCGTAAGGAGCCCGTACACAAACACTGGCTTCTCCGAGAAGACGAACGTGGTCCAGGTCTCCCCTTCATTGGTGCTGTACCTGCCCAAATGTAAGAAGAGGATCCGTGCAGTTAAAGTCTGGAGGCAAGACCCTGGTTTCCAGATAACAGCCACCTGTAACAGGAACCAGGGCTCCTTGGGGCAGCGGCTGATCCTGGGATAACATCAGGGAAGTTTAAGGTTGTGCTAGAAAGCTCGGAAACGCTCAGAGACTGATGCTGTCGATGCGAAAAGAAATAGAAGCCAGCTCCATGGGGCTCCAGCTGGCCAGGTTGGGACAATGTGGACTTTAAAAAAAGAGAAATGATGGTAACAGATAATACAATGAATGAAAACATGGTATGGGTCTGTACATGATAAAGAAAAAAGGGAAGAGAAGGGAAATTATTATATCACAGTACTACCTAATAATTGTTAAAAAACAATGACAGAATGAGAAAAGTGACTGTGTTGTAACCCCACTGCAACAACCAAGTCAGACAAGATTATCTCTGGATGCCAAAAACACTGGGTGAAAGAATGTTGGGGAGCAGAGCATCCACATGGTCTAAAGATACCAACTCACTCACTGCAGAAGAGGAAACGTAATTTACAGTGGATGACCAGAGTTACAAATCTTGCAAATTTAACAGCACTCAAAGTGGGACAAGACAACCTGATGTCATGTACCTCTCGGATAAAGCACTGAGGATGACGCATCATCTAGGCAAGAGTCCATGAACTGGATGAATTGAAAATGTGGAATGTTCTATGTGACAACTGGCCTGGAATCTTCACAACATCAAGGCTATCAAAAACCAACCAAACAACCCAAGAGGCAGAGGAATTGCTACAGATTAGAAAGTGACTAAAGACAAATGTAAACCCTGACTGAATCCTTGATTGGCGGGGGGGGAATCAACAGCTACAAATAATATAGGACAACTGAGAAAATATAACAGTCTATAAGTAATACTTATAGTAAGGCCATTATCATTGGCATTGGATGGCATCACCAATTCAATGGGGATGAACTTGGGCAAACTCCAGGAGATGGTGAAGGACAGGGAAGCCTGGCATGCTGCAGTCCATTGGGTTATGAAGAGTCGGACACAACTTGGTGATTGAACAACAAAATAAGTCACACTAAGTTCATGATCATTTTCTCCGGCATGATAGCAGCATTCTGATTGTGTAGGAGAAGACCTTTATTTATTTAAGATATGAGTATTGAGCTATGAAGGGGTACAATATCCGCAACTATTTTTCAAATCATTTCCCCCTAAAAGGAGGGATGGATGGATGGAAAGATGGCAGACAGGATAAACAGATGGCAAAAGCAAAGCAAACAAAACATTAACAACTGGTGATTACATGAGGTGTAAGTGAAGGTAACGTGAGTACTTTTTTACACAACTTTTCCAACTTTTCTCATATTCTTAAAAATTAAAAGTTGGAGGAAAGTGTGTCCTGAGAAAAGGCAGACTACATCAGAAAAAGTGTGCAAGCCCTCCTGGGGACAAAAGCAGCCACGAATTCAATGTATTGATTTTAAATTAACTTTTGTATTAAAGATGAGGAGGAGGAAGAGGAGAGGAAAACGTGCCTGGTATTGGCGTCATCACCTAGCAAGCTGTTGAGAAGCTCACCATAAGAAACCTCTCAACTAGAGTGGGTTCAATTAGGGTCACAGAGCTACTGGAACTCTCCAAAATCCAATTTAAACACAGAACTTTTCTTTCACTTTTCTCAAGTTTTTGAGATTTTACTTTTACTCAGGGTCTTAATACTTGATGTAAATCTTTTTACGTCATTCAATTCAAGCACTTCCTCTTGAGATTACTAAAACTGGTACTTCTGCAAGGGGGCTACGGGTTAAACCGTGGTCATGGTGGGAGTGGAGTGGGGACAGGGTAGAGGGAACTGAGCGATCTCCTCTGCAGATCTTTCTAAGAGGAGAAATTCTCTTCCGGCTGACGTGCTTCTGGCTTAAGCTAATCTGAAGCAGATAAGGAGATAAGTTAACTTAGTCTCCTTCTTGGGACAGGGTGATGAGCTAAAGGCTTTCAAGCTCAGTCACATCTGACTCTTATTGACCCCATGGGCAGTAGCCCAACAGACTCCTCTGTCCATGAAATTTTCTAGGCTAGAATATTGGAGTGGGTTGCCACTTCCTACTCCAGGAGATCTTCCCAACCCAGGAATCGAAGCTGTTTCTCTTACGTCTCCTGAACTGCAGGCAGATTCTTTGCCACTGTGTCACCTGGGAAGCAAAGGCTCAGGAGCATCCTTAAAGCAACCTGAGCCCGCAGAGTCGGTATGTCAACCAGACACGATGGAAGCTACCCCTCTGCTCTGCGATCACAGTGGGAGTCTGTCTACTTGCACACCATGTAGATAATTCTGTTGAATAGCTCCTCGAACCCAAGATAACCTCAGGAAATGAATCAGCCCATTTCTTGAGAAGTTCCCAGCAGACTCTGACAACAACATTATGGCTGAGACTAAAAGCAGGTGCTCGGCCAAGTGCAGCTTTGTACTTAAGAATAAAGTGTGCCTTTAGAAAACAACACTTTTTCAGAATTTTGGAGAAAGGGCAGTCACATCATCAGTCCAACAGTTAAGGGAACATCTATTCTGGGCTGAATTCTGGTCTCTGAAGGAGAACTTGTGTTGGTGAAGTGAAAATGACAGGAACCTTGCAAGAAAACAAACCAAGACATCTTTATATTCCTAACAGGCATGGAAGAGGATGTAGGAAGGAAGAATTCAAAACATTCAAATAAAATACAGACATAATCTCATGGTCAAAACTCTCAAAAAGATGAGACTATAGACACAATGATGATAATAATATAATATAACCAAGATACACTACAAGGGACGCAGTAGTAGAAACTCAAAACACAAATCCATGGTTCCACAGAAAGGTCCTGATGAGCTCAGACTTTTAAGCAACATATTCAAGATGAGAAAAGAGTCATATAACCAAGGGCAAAAACTTAAAGAGCCGTAGCAATCTAATTAATTTCAGCTGTAATTCTTCACACTCGTAATCTGCAGGAACAGTAACCAAACAGCTCAAGCTCAAAATAAGCCAAAGATAATGCTTCAAATTACTAAAATAATTGGCAGATTAGTGGGCAGTGGGACATGGGTTGGTTTCCCAGCAAGTTCTATAAAGAATCAGAATGGAATGGGATCATCCATCTGATGGTTAATGGTATAAACAGCAATGACAGAGAAAAGCAGAAGAGGTTAGTCAATTTCTACGTTGGATTTATCTTTATTAAGGAGAATGAACTTCAAAGTGGACAAAGCAGAAAAAAAAGGAAGTTAAAGGAAAATGAATATGAAATAAAGCACATTTGAGGGAACTGAAAGATTTAAAGGAATGATTGCAAAGTTCCTTTTAATAATCTCTAAAAAGAACCACAAGAACAGATAAAGATCTCAAAACTAGATGAGAAAAAAGTAGTTTTATTTCCCTTAAGAAAAAGTGGTTTCAAGAATGGACTATGAAACAGCTGATTTGAGAGAACTTAGATATGAAGGAAGGTAGAGCTGGGAACACAAACAGTTTCACACACAAGTCATAACAAACGAACCCTGTTTCTTTTTCTTGGGGTTAATTCTTGACTTGAGAACAAGGTAATGATAAGGGTGTTCCTGTCTTCATAAGGATATTCGTGGCAGTGGACTGAGGGGACAGTATTGACTGGGGAGGGGCATGTGGATATTTTCTGGGGTGATGTAAAAGTCCTCCATCCTGACAAGCAACCTTCAGAATGGATTAAATGGTGTATTTAAGGTAAGAGCATCTCATGGTGTGTAAAGGACATCTCAATTAAAAACATAACTTAGTAGAAGCAACCAGCTTGAGAAGGCTGTCGAAGTGTAAAAACAGTCTTAGGTTTTTATTAACAGAAATCAAGTCTCTAGGATCATGCAGTGCCAATGGGATGTGTGTCTCAGGCTGCTGGAGACAGATCGGGCCCCTCATCTTAAAACCCTGACAGTGTGAGAAGGACCCGAGAGAGAACCTACGGAGTGTAGATTCAGGATCCTACAGCACTAGAGGGAAGGAACTGGGGCAGTCTGCCATGGATGGGAGATGCTCTCCGGAGAACAGGCAGGGGTCCTCAAGCATCTGAAAGGCTTTCAGCAAAAGAGGAAATACCTGTTGGGTGCATCTCCTGGAAGCAGAGCTCAGCCCACTGCACAGAAATGGGAGTGAGGAAGATTTAGGCTCTCTCTGACCTGAGAACTTCCACTCGTAAGGGAATAGATAAATAGAGTGCATGAACACATGAACAACGAATTGTCCCAAGCTGAAATAGAAGCTTTTTATTTTTCAATTTGGCGAAGTCTCCATCACTAGAATTATTCAAGCAAAGACTGGGTGATCATCCATCACGGATGACAGGCAATTCTTGCAATGGATGGTGAAAGGTGGAACTAGAGGATGTAATGTTGCCAGATTCCTGCTGTGTATCTCCCCGTGGACATCCCACAGCCACGTCAGTTCCCCCTGTCCAAATGTGCACTCAGCCCCCTGTCCTTCCGGCCGACTCATTTTCCTTTGCTTTTCTGTGAATGATATGACAGGTCATCTTGACCTGTCACCCCTCAGCCCCTGCAAACTGTCTGGTCAAGAAGCAACTCCTACAGACTTAGTCCTGAAAATGCTTGGTCCCCATCTAAGCAACATCTCTCACCTCCAGTCTTGGTCCTTTGAAAATGCATGCTCCTGGGCTTCCCTGGTGGCTCAGAGGTAAAGAATCCATCTATCAATGCAGGGGACATGGGTTCGATCCCTGGTCTGAGAAGATCCCACATGCCTCGGAGCAACTAAGCCCGCGAACCACGACTGTTGAGCCTGTGGTCTAGAGCCCAGGAGCCGCAACCACTGAGCTCTCGAGCTCTGGAGCCTGTGCTCCTCAATGTAAGCAGCCACAGCAATGAGAAGCCCAGGCACTGCAATTAGAAAGTAGCTCCCACTCACCTCGACTAGAGGAAAGCCTATGCAGCAACAAAGACCCAGCATGGCCAAAAATAAAT